CCCCCCCCCCCCCCCCCGCTAAAGGAAAGTTCTGGGCGTTTACGAGTAGGAAATTATATTCGATGGCTATCCCCCTTGATTTTCTCTTTCAGGTAGTACCGCAACAGGAATGACGGTGAACACACCTCTGTGTTTTAGAGGAAAGAAGATCCTGGCTCCAATGGTGCGAGTGGGAACATTACCAATGCGTCTTCTTGCTCTGGACTATGGTGCTGATATCGTGTACTGCGAGGTATGAAGGATGAGCAGATGAGGCAGTCTTATAACATTATTATTAAGAAAAATACAAATAGACTTTGTTTATCGTACAACTTTTCCTTTTATATATATTTTTCATTAGAAAAATGGGGAAAAAGAATCTCTATGGCTTAAGGCATTTCTCTTTGAGCAGTCCTCAAGTTACGGCAAACTCATATTTTAAGACTGTTCAATAATTTAATTTATACAAAACACTCACCATAACAATTTCCTCACATTCTACTGTGTTTTGGTTTTTGTTGGGTTTTTTGGTTTGGTTTTTTTGAGTAGAATCATAACAATGAAGGAAGTCTTAGACTGACCTACCCTCTCACCCGGTTAGTTCTGCTGTGCTAACCCAGAGCATCCATATGTACAGCACTGCTGTCCTTGTTGCTTAGCCACTTTTCTTAAAGCTGCCTGAAGTTGAGACTCCAGTTTGCTGCAGATATTATTGGTAGGACTACTCTGTAACTTAAGGTACTTAGTCTTCACTATCCTTATTGTTGCAGTGCATCAGTATTCCCATTTTCCTCTTCAGTGCAATTATTAGCTCTTCTCAAGTGTAGGCACTGGTACAAGTTACATGACTCAGCCGAAATGTAAAAAAAAAAAAAGCAACCAACCAAACAGTAAGGAGTTAAACATAATGTAAACATGGCTTAAATACTGGCTTTCCTGGAGAATGTTTGATCTGTACCAATAGAACAGGCTGAAACAAACTGTCAGAATCAGTCATTTACAATGTTCTCCAGGAATCTTCACAGCAATTCTCTTGCGAGTTAGCTCACTGCCCTTTCTGGGGGAGAAAAAAAGGAAAGATTCATTCTCAGAGAGACAATATGCTGTTTTTGTCTTGGCCACAGTTCACCTTGTCTCTAGCTTCTACAATTACAAATGATATTTAATTAGCTGGATCAGCTCCATGTGAAAGAATAGTTATTGCTGGATGATTCAGAAGAAATCTCAAAATTTAGTAGAATAGTTACTGCTGTCTGTCATAAAATTGGGAGAAATAAGGTGTTTTTCTTCTTTGACAAACAATAATTAAGTTTCTCAGTTTATGAATTACAACCTCTCTGCTTTACATGGGGTTAAGTGAGAATAGATATTTTTTCATTCTCTGGGAGGCTAACTGTAGATCACGTATAGAGAAATCACAAGCATAGAGTTACAGAATCTAGAAGTCTTAAACACTAAAAGTGAGTCAGGCTTTAGACAGCCTTTGTACTTTTCCACTATCTCTTACACTTCTTAGTAGTAGCAGCAAAGAACCTTGTTACTGAGCAGCTACTGGATTTCATTAACCACAGATTTGACAGGGCCATTGTATAGGAAATTAGTGGCAGATAGTAATGCAGAAATTGTGTTTGTTTTTCTAAAAAAACCCACACAACCAAAAACCACAACAAACCACACACATAAAGGTATTGCTTTGCTTACCACTGAAGTCACAGGGTATGAGAAGTTATTTAATCCAACACTTTAAACTGTATAGTTAAAGCAGTTTCTCCTTCACACACACTTTTTGCCACAGTTCCAGAGAAACAGTACCTCAGAAGAGACCCTCAAAATTACTTAACAAGTTGCAGTACATCACAAAACTTGTAGTGTGAAAGTTATTCCTGTAGCCAAAAACCTGTTGTAGATTTCATCATCTCATCTCAAAAATAAGATCTCCTACATTGTCTCTTTTTTTTTCTCTCCACATTGCTGTTGATGAGGAGTTGTCATGGTGTAACCTCAGTCGGCAACTGAGCACCACATTAGTTATCTGTCTTAATAGATTTTATCAGAGAAACTATGCTTTGCAGGTTTTCTTAAGAATTGACAAGATAGCATAAAATAAAGCAGTTGTTTTAGGTAATTATACTGCAGTTGTTTGGCAACAGAACAGCATGAATAACTGCATTTTGTAACTTCATTTTCTGATTTATCCTTTTGTTTTCCCATCATTTCTCCCCAACCAGGAAAGCAGGGCTCCATCACGCGTAATGGTTACTTGGGAAGACAAACGCCATCACTCCAAACGTCCCCCCCTTCCTTCTTCTTCCCCCAGCTTTATATACTGCGCGTGATGTCCCATGGTATGGAATGTCCCTGTGGCCAGTTTGGGTCAGCTGTCCTGGCTGTGCCCCCTCCCAGCTTCTTGTGCACCTCCAGCCTTCTCAGTTGGTAGAGCATGGGAAGGTGAGAAGTTCTTGACTAGTGTAAACACTACCTAGCAACAACTAAACCATCAGTGTGTTATCAACATTATCTCATACTAAATCCCAAACACAGCCCTGTACCAGCTGCTAGGAAGGAAATTAACTCTATCCCTGCCAAAACCAGGACAGGAGTATTAGTTAAAAACTTAAATTAAAAGCACTACTCGTAAGACCTATAGTATAATGCAAGCAGATTGAGATTAGCCTATTTTATTGTTTGTTTATCCCTTACCTGTAAATTAGCAGGTCTTAAACCTTGTCTTGTTTGCTAAAACAAAGAGTCTATAGTAGACCAAACTTCTTCAGGTAACTAAAAATATAGTATGGTGGGTTTTTTTTTTCTCAATTTATATAACAGTTGGATTAACAGCTGCATATTTATTTCAGCAGCTAACAGGTTATATTGGCTCAGGCTGTAGCCCTTTGTCAATTAAAGGCAGTCAGTTTGTCTTAAAGCTCACCTATAATCAAGTTGATGAGATACATATGAGAAAAGGACTCAAATGGTGTCCTTAATAAATTGGGTTGCATAAATCTGCAGTTAAGCTAATATATATGGACTGAAGTTTTGGGTTTCTTCTAAAAGAAAGCCACAAATTCTAGAAGAACGGTGACTGTATATTAGGTTCTCCAGTAAAGGTCAACACAAAGCTTCATTTTGTCTTTTAACTAGTGTAGGGAACCATTAAAACTCAGGATTAAGGTAAAGAAGCCTTAAAGCTGAATACTACTGTTTTGTTCACCTATGTGTTTGGCCAGTACAAATCTACATTGATTCTTGAGGTGGTCTGTTGCTATAGCATTAAGTTATCTTCCCCTTCCACTCTAGGTGGTTCATTCTGCTTTGTTTCCAACTTGCTAGATAGGTATTTGAACAAAATGGTTCTTCTAGAACTATGAAAACATATCATATTCTTATGTTCATATGTTCTGTTCATATTTTGAAACTTCAGTTGAGAGTGTTGTATAGTTAAACTCCTGTTTTCATTTGCATTCTTCTATATTTGGTATCTCTAGATAGTTATTCTTACTTAATAAAATGGGCAACTGTTTAGAGCTGGGTGACTTAAACACTTCAACTCACAGATACTTATGCTCTTTTTTCTCAGGAGCTGATTGACATAAAGATGCTGCAGTGTAAGAGAGTTATAAATGGCAAGTATAGCATTTCTTTTGTTAATACCTGTAAGCGTTGTTTTTTTCTAGTTAAGAGAAAAGATAATTATTTCTCTGAAGTAACTTTA